CCAATTTTTCTTTCTACCATTTCTTCCCATTTCCCAATTTTTCAAGATGGCAAGAGAGCATATTAGAGGTCGTAATTGGACCTGTGAGGAAGATGTTGCTTTATGCTTGGCATGGGTTTCTGTTAGCGAAGATGGTGCAGTTGACATGAATCAAAATAAAAAGGTTTTGTGGGATAAAATCATTGAAAAGCATGCACTTTATGGAATTGAAGCTTGGAGAGAGCCGTGGTTAGCATGGCTAGTGGAAGAAGCACCGCGGAAATTGTGAGTTTTTTTTGTTGATATTTTATTTGTTATGTACATAATATTATTTTGCAACTAATTGTTTTTATGTATTTTCTGCATAGGGTGACAAAGCATTGGAAATTTACAAGACAAAAGTAACACCAAAAAATCAACCTTTTAAGTTGCATCAAGCTTGGGACGTCCTCAAGGATTGTCCGAGGTGGGGAACCAATGCGGACCAACAATGGGGAATATTATTTCAATGTGAAGACGCACCAACAAATGATGAAGATGAAGGTGTCAATGAAGGTGTCGATGAAATGACCCCAACTCCTTCTTTTGCAAGGCCCCAGGGAAAAGATAAGCAAAATGAAGCAAAGAGAAAACGAAAGTCCCAAGATCCGATGAGTGCACTCATTGCTACTGAATTTGCAAGATTGACCAAAACCCATAACACTCGCCAACAAGAAACGGACCAAAACCCATAGCTAGATTTGGCATGATGCTCATATTGCATAAGCGAGTTTCCAAATTTGACTTCTGCGTTGATCATTTATGCATCCTCATTGTTAAGGCTTGCTTGGTATTGTGCCATCTGCATTGCCCTGCTACGCCTTCTTCTATCACCCATTGATGAGATAATAAGGATTTTTGGGAAACAAAAACACTTTGAAAGTTGAAAGATTGGTGAACATGTTGTGTGATGGTTTGATATTCAACTTGTGTTTATATAGAGGATGATTGAAGGCTTCAGTTTCATGTGTGTAGGTTTGTGTTTCATGCATTTCATGTGTTTTGTAAGTATTTTGTATGTGTTTCGTGTGTGTCGTGTGTTTCACATGTGTTATGTGTGTACTTCATCTCTATCATGTGTTTTCTATGTCCTTTACATGTGTTTTGTTATGTTTCACATGTGTTCTGTGTGTCATGTGTGTTTTATGTATTTTATGTTTATACATCTCAATCATGATTTTCATATTCTTCCATAATGTTTCATGTATCGATTTAGTGATTTTTCAATATTTATCGGAATTTAAATATTTTTAGATTAAAATGTTCATAAAATTAATTTACTATAGTCTACATAATTTTTTTTAAAGTTAATTTAAGAAAAAAATTAGCCTAAGTTCATTCTTTAATAATCTGAGGCTAAAATTTAGGCCAAAAGGGTTGGAGCAAAAAAGCTGTTTCTAGGCTAAAAATTTTGGCTTTTAGCCCAAGGGTTAGAGATGGTCTCAAGGAGATTAGGCAAGCTATTTACAATCAGTGGTTTTGATGTTCTTACTCTACACCAATTTAGCTTCTTTTTTTTTTTTTTTTTTTTTCCTAATCCACACCAATTTTTCTGATAAAAATGCCAACTTCTTTCAAGGTGCCCGTTCTTCCAAAAACTCTTTTGTTCACATTCCTTTGAGCGGCCTTGATGATTGATTTTGGGTAAAGTCCTGTACTGTTTTTCGTTATGGTATTCTATCATATTTTATCTTTTTTTATTTTTGCCCTACCTGCCTCTAGCTCTTAGCGGTTGACCCTACGTCGTGGTCGTTGCAAAACTCTTCCTTCTACTGTATCAATCGAAGACTTATTCTTCATGCTCAAATGTTATCCTCTATAGGCAGGCTACGAGAGTCTTGCTTATAGAGTGCTATCTGCTACTCATACTAAATGCCTAAGACTGGGTCTTCCTTAACCTGCTACTATGTCCCCATCTTCCTCAACTTGTAGAATTTCATTAACGTGTTACCTTTCTGCTTGAACGAGCGGTCGGACCACTGTTCTAAAAAACACCCTAGGCGGTCGCCTAGGCGCTAGGCGCCTTGGAATTGAGGTGATTTTGTACAAAACGGCTGGAAAAATCGGGGTGGCTCTAGGCAGTGCTAGGTTGCTGGGTGGTTTTTTATTTTTTTTTTTTGTGAAATTTGTTTAGAGTCTAAGTTCTAATTATACCTTGACATTTTGTTAATTTTATAGAATAGGTGTATTGTGTATCAACTTAAATTCCGGGATGCTAAAGATAAGTATCTTACATTACTAAATTTCCTTATTTTTCCTCCTATTTTCCATTTTATGTTGTTTTAAATTGTGAACTTGTTTTACATGTGTTATCCTACAATACTCCTCACTATGGTTATATGGCATATATGCTTAATGTGTTTTTAAATTTTGGACTTGTTGGATACTCTTTTTGCATTTTATCATTCTTTTATTATCTTATCCATGGATTTCATACAAGTATAATTTTTTGTAAGTGTCAATATGCACTTATTTACAAGTTATACAAGAAATTTACCTAAATCCACCTAGGTGCTAGGCTTTAACCCGCCGCCCGACTAGCACTTAGCATTTTTTAGAACCTTGGGTTGGATCGTTTAACAAGTATTGTGATCTGGTGCAGGCAACCTTTTTATCGTTCGTACAAACTACTCTATTGTCACCTTGGTCTTCACTTTTACTGTTGACACATATCATACTTTTGCCAACGCCTGATCTCATCTGACCATTCTTACATCTGTAGAGGTCTAGAACTTCATCGCTAGCATCTTTTACAACCTAGTAGGCATACGAAACTGGTTGTCATGATGCCCGAGCATAAGCCTTCCTAGACCGGTTAGAATTCCCCGATAGTAAAGATCTTCTAGAAAAAGTGTAGATCACCTTGCTTTCAACTGAACCACAATTTGCAAGGGAACCCGACGTAGATGAAGCTCGGCTGCGCCTACGATCTATCAGCTACATGTATCGCGAGTAGCAGAACGAACGATTCTAAGTTGACCTTGAGATCCATGCAATCACCGATAAGGTGTCGTGGTCTTCGTGATACCGACAATACCCTCATCTCTCCACCCGTAAAAATCGAGTTGCACCCTTTGTTCGAGTGATGGGAAGTTGACGCTACACAAGAGGGAACATCTCCCCTTAAGACATATTCATTGAGGCCATAAGATTTGTACCTGGCATATTGTTCAAGGTGACTCTGCATTGGGCTAGTAATTCTTATACCTTTTCTTTTTAAGCGGGCGATCACACACAACTTTTTGCTTGGCTTTAGCTGACGTGCTTGGCTGACTAATCCTTATTGCCCTTGTATCTTCGTCTTGTTCAATTGTTCACAGAGCAAATCCTTAAAAGTCTCGGGGGGTCAGATAAAAGTAGAAATCGCCTCTAGCAAATCCCCTATGAGAGCTTTATGTATCGTTGCTTCATTACATCATATGCATCTAGCGTATTCGTCGTTGAATCTGGATATATAATCAGGGATTCATCAGAACCCTATTTCATGAAGGTAAGGTTGGTCGGTAGCATATATGAACCCATCGAGATGGTTATACATATCAATAAGCCCCTTGTAACTTTGCATCTTGAGTGCTCGAGTGTCCCGCTCGTAGGCTCATCGAGTAGCTCATTGGAGAATGGCAATGACACCTCTTCCTCAGAATAATCAGGGTTCTTTAGTTTGGACGATCGCTCAATGTCTCCAAGCCGAGGTCGATGGGGTTTACCAGAGTTGCCATTGAACACCCTAGCTGGTGCTCAACGATTCTTGCCCTTTCGTCCCAAGCGTCATCCTCTTCTTTGAGCTTCTTGTTGATGACTTTACATGCATCTTCGCCTCCGCTTCCGAGCCTTTCCCTTGGATGTGTTGTCGATTTCCTTGTTCATTTTGTTGATTTATTCTAGGAAGTCGTCAAGCTTCTCCTAGAGTAGGGTGTTTTTGGCATGGAGGGGGTTCCCCACCTCATTCATCTTTCCGACACCAGCAAGTATGTCATTAATCTTTTCCTCATAGGTGGCAAGTTTGGTCCTCTCTTCTCATCTTCTTCCTCAAGAGTGTCGACTCAAGACTGCTGGTGATCTTGCTTAATGGACTACAAACTATTAAGCAAAGATAGTTGGGCAAAAAACACAACCAAATCGCATGTGTTTCCCATAGACATTTAAAACTTTGATTGGGATATCCCCCATTCAGCTCGTCTATGGGAAAGTGTGTCATCTACCTATGGAGCTAGAGCATAAGGCGTACCGAGCTAAACATCTAAATTTTGCCTATGATTCTGCTGGTGATAAGAGTAAATTACAACTCAATAAGCTAAATGAAATTTGTAATGAGGCATATGAAATTGCGAAGATCTATAAGGAGAAAACCAAGGGGTTGCATAACAATCAAATTTAGAAAAGAGTTTCAACTAAGGCAGAAAGTGTTCTTGTTTAATTCAAGGTTGAAGTTGTTTCCAAGGAAGTTGAAATCTCGCTGGAACAGACAACACTGGGTTACTAAGGTTTATCCTCATGGGGTTGTCGACATTAATAATGAGTATAGTGGTGTAACATATTCAAGGTATTCACAAGCTGAAACCATACATGGAGTCACCCTACGATGTCACATGCGAGTCAATGACTCTGAAGAAACCAGTGGTTTGAACATCAGACTTCTACTACGTCTAGCTATAGACTAACTAAAGCATTTTTTAAGAAGTAGCCTAAATTTCTAACACTAACTTGAAAAAAAAAAAAAATTAAAAAAATACATTTCACTTAGTTTTGTTTTCTTTCAATAATGCTAGTTTAAAATTTTGTATTTTAAAGTATTTTTTTGTGTGTACAAATTGTTAGCTGTGAAATTGTTGTTTGCTGTGTTTTTAATTTGAAAAAACATTTGTTTTGTTGGATAAAATTCTTATCTTTTCAAAGTAAATTTTTGCTTGGAGAAACTTATATAATGAAAAACTGAGTTAATAAAAACAGATTATTGATTGAAAAACTTTGGGCTTTTGCAGGTTGCAATCAAGAATTACAAAGCGGCCCTATTTCATCTAAGACGTGCAAGGCAAATAAAGAAAAAACTGGATCTTGCATCCAGCAGCAGATTCATTCATTGACATCAATCAACCACAGCAGTTCTAAGAGTATCATTTTGCAGAAAATTTAAGCAGTTCAAAGCAATCGAATTTCACTCAGAGGACAGTCAAAGCAGACAAGCAGATATGGGTTCCTAGTCTTTCATTGAATTGCTAGGTCTCTAAAATCATTCCTAATCTTGTTTGTCTAGCAGTTAACTCCTATGCATGTTTCTAAGCACAGTCACAGCAAACAGCAGTTATAAAGTGAGTTTTCAGAAACCATACCAGGGCAATTCCGATGAAGCAAAGAGAGAAGGAAAGTTAGAAAATAATTGTGAGTGATTAAAACAAAAGGCTCACTTAGCAGCTGAATGGTGTTTAGAACTGCAGGGTCCGGAAAGAAATTCGTGGTGAGCTTGACTTCATCAGACGAGGCATTATGCTCTCTCTTCAAATCCTAAAGCATGAGAACAAAACCAAAAACGTTTAGGGAATTTGTCGAAAGATTCAAAACAGAAAGAACATACAAATGCTTCCAATCACTTTCTGAGCTTTCCTCAAAGCGACGTTAACAAAATACAATGCTAGAACAAAGAATTACCTGAAGTTTGGTAGTCAAATCAGTGATCTCCTGGAAAACTGGAAGGACCATCTGACATGGAGAACCTTGTTGAGTTCCGTTCCACGTGCTGCTCTCACCAATCAAATCAGAATCTCACTTGACGAGTTTGGTGGCAATATCTGGAGTACATTCTGAAAATAATGATATAATCAGAGCATGACTTCAATGATCCCCCCCAAAATTTTCCATTTTCTTACAACTCAGCTACTCAATTGGAATTCACAATGTAACAGTTTAGTTGAAAAATTTCCCAATTTCTTTTAGAATATTAAATATTAAAAAACCAAGGATTGCAGAAATTATCCACCTTCGTCGCTCACGTAACTGTCCAACTGGGTTGTAATCGCTCTAGGGTTTTAAGTTTTGACTCTGCAGAAAAAGAGGGATGAAATTGAATCAGAAAATTCCTCGATTCTACATTTTCTAGTAATAATCGAATCCGAACTTCGAATTCAACAGTTTCTTGTAATTCAAAAAATTTAAAATAAAACGAAAACAAGAACCTGCTTCAAGGGTCGAAGAGAGCTTGCAGTCGTGATTTGGAACAAAGTCTTTGCAGTTTTGGGGGAATATTTCCACCATTTGACACCGCTCGCTCCACGATTTAACAAGAAATCAAATAAAAAACAAGAAATAATTGATGAGAGAGAGAGAGAGAGAGAGAGAGAGAGAGGACACTCAGGAGAGTACCTTCCATTGAATCGAATCACAGCAAGAATGCGAGTTGAGAATTTTAGGCGAAGATCTCAGAGAGCTAGAGAGAGAAAGAGAGAGAGACCGTTTCAAGTTTGAATTGAGTGAATCTGAGCCGTCGGTTTAAATGGAAGGGAGCTCTTTCTTTCTAACGGCTATAAAGAATTTTCTCGGTGGACCACTTCGAAATGGCCCAACAGGCCCCAGTCGGTGAGAAGGCAAAACGACGCTTAGTTTCACGTCGTCCGTTTAATAGGATGCAACATTCACGTCGTTTACCAGTAGGACTAATTGCAAAGGGTAATGTTAAGAAGATCAACTTTTAAATTAAAATTTTGATGTGATTATTGATGATTATGTTATTGCTTAAGTGTTGATTAACGTACTTATTTTCTAATGGTGACACATTATATTGTTTGTAAATTTAGTCTAAAAAATTGGTTTACGTAGTATTACTCAATTGCATATATAATTTGAAGTGTGATTCTACTTTCTAATAAGGTGATAAAACATTTTAATTTTCTCACATTAGTATCCTCAAATACAAAACGTAAGCTCCACGCATGCTACATAAACGATTAACGAAAGCCTATGAAATTATATGCCTTAGTAGTTTGAATGGTTGATATTTTTAACACTTTTTCAATTAATACATAAAAATTGAAAGACCATATCTCTTTACGGAAATTATTTCTAGAACTTCCGGCGAATGTTAGCAACCTTCTCACTTTCTTTCTTATTCAACATTTTCACTTCTACTTATGTCAAGTGTATTCTACTAGCACACAAACTAAAAAGCTAATTATTTTGTTTAATTGAAAAACTAAAATTTTAATTATACTAACAAAGTAAGAAAAATTGTAGAATTTTTAATAGGGTGAATTGCCAATTTAATCCCTAAATTATCACCTTAGTGACAATTAGGTTTCTAAACTATTTTTTGAGAAAAATCAGTCTTTGAATTATAAAAATCTGCCAATTACATTCCTAATATTATATTCAAAGCTACTATATTCAATTTTCTGACAATTTAAGTCATGTTACTTGCATGTGATATCCATTGGAGAGTAGATTGGTAGTTTTTCATAAAGAAATAGTGTATGAAGTTAACTTTAGAGGGTAAATTGGTAGGTTTTCATAAGAAATAGTGTAAGTTAACTTCGAAGGGTAAATAGACGTTTGATTTGTAACATATATGAAATGTTAAGGGCTTATAGGTGAGAAAATAGCAGTGTTACACTCTAAAGTGTGTCAAGTGACTTAAGTTGACGAAAAATTGGATAAAATAACTTTAAATATAATGATAGGGATGAAATTAGCAATTTTTAATGAATTTAGGGACTTATTTTACCAAAAAAATAATTTAAGGACCTAATTTTCACTGAGATGATAGTTTAAGGACTAAATCGGCACTTCACTCTTTTTAATATAATTAAAATTATAGCTTTGGGTGCTAATAGAGCACACGTGACATTAAAAGAAATAAGAAAGTTGAAATGAAAAAATAAATGAGAAGGTTACTAGCATTTCTCAAACTTCAGTAGTGCATTTTATAATTATTTCTAAAATGTATAAATAGCTCAAGACTCAAGTCAATCACAAAATAAATAAAAATAATATTTATCTATAAAAAATAAAATCTCTGCAACTTTTGTACAAGTAATGGTGGTGTTAGTGGGGAAGAGATCCTCTTCGGACCTCTCCTCCCAAAGCCCACCAATCAATTAATCCGGGCCCTTGAAATTTGATCCAACAACTAAAATTATTATAACTTTTAAGGGAGCCCCCTGTTTGTAGCCGTTGGATCCAATTTCAAAAACCCAGATTAATTGACTAGTGGGCTTTGGTAGGAGAGATCCGAAGGGGATCTCTTCCCGTGTCAGTGGCCGACTTTAATGATGGCATCTTCCACATCTCCGAACTGCTTGTTTCACTTCTGCTCCCTTTCTTCTTTTACTGCATTTTCACTCACCAAGTCTTCTTCTTCTTCAAGAATTCCTGCCAAGTTTGATAAGTTCCAAGGTTAAACTCCCCAGGAAATTCTTGAGATGCCACACCACCATCTCTAGAAGCCCTTGAAGAAGATAGTGAACAAGAAGAAGATGATAGGTGAATTTTTTTACAAGCGATATTATACTTTAAACTAAGATGACAGGAAATTTCGGACCGTACTTCGTCGATCTCCACATTGGCACCCTTCATCCTTCCACATCATTGCTTTCTCGTCCCTGATATCGACATCGATCTCGCCTGGCTCAACTACTCCACTTACACCTACTGCTTTAATCGCAAACCTAAGAAGATGACCCATCTCGTTTTCCTAGCAACTGGTTGTCTGTTTGGGAACAAATTCTCATACTACCTCATGGACTACACCTTGTCCCCGTCGTTGACAAGTTACCTCCAAATCTGAGGCTGCTCTCCAAGAGCCATTGTTTTGAATTCGACACTCGGCTTTGATCTTTACACCAACGTGTTAGGGACGGGTGAGGCCAAGTCTGCCGAGGCTAAGTTTTAAACTCGTTGGGAACTCGGTGTTTTAATTCCCTTCATTTTTATTTTATTTTTTAATTTTTAATATTCACATGAGCCCTTGGTTGACACGTGGCACCTAGTTATTGTCCACGTGGGTGACATATCACAAGTTAACTGCTGTTTTAACATGAAGCTTAACATATATATGAAACTGTGTAACAATTATCACTTTAGGTAGCAGACTGAGATGAAAAAAACTTGATGTATGAAATGTAGAAAACCAAGAAACTTCAGAGTAGTATAAACTGAGATTTACCCTAGTTTTTAATTTTTAATTTTTTAATGTCCACGTGGCGCCAAAGCGCACATGTGCATTATCCATGTGGGTGCCACATCATTAGTTAACGGATGTTATAACGGAAAACTCAAGAGATGTATGAAAGTGTTACATAATTATGACTTTAGGTGTGGATGCAAATTTCTTCCTCCTTGATCTTGGTCAAAATTGCACCTATAAAACAAATAACAGCTTAGGTCAAGGTCAAGAGCCTCACACGTCCATGATGAATGGGGGAGGCTTTGGCCGAAGAACCTCCGATGCCAAAGTTAGAATTTTGAAGGAAAAATGTTTGGAGAATTTAGAGAAATTAGCAAGAGAATTGGAATTGAGTTTTGGAGAGAATTTAGCAAAAGAATTGGAATTGATTTTTGGAATTGGCCAAAAGCCTCCACTGCTTGGGCTGCTCGGCTTGGCTAGAGACAAGGGCAGCTTGTGCGGTTGGGGCCGCGGATTGTGGCGCTGGGGCATAGTGCTAGGCAAGTCGCATGGCTCATGTCATTTGGGCTTTTGGACCTGACGCGGGCCAGGCCGGTGATTGAGAAAAATGAAGAGGTCGCGGGCCTCATGGGTTGCTAGAATGCTGGGCATGCAAGCTTCCTGCCTCCTAGTCCGAGAGAAAAAATGAGGGAAAAACCAGTATGGGTTGAGCTCCCCTACTGAGTATTGTGAATGGTGTTGGCTGCTTACTTCTCTTCGTCGGGAGAAAGGTGGGCTGCTTCTGAGAAAGAAGGTAAAGAGGATCAAGGCGGATGCCTTGGCTCGTCTGATCGTTATCATGGAGCCTACTGTGAATGAAGGTGGAAAGAAGAGATCTTTCCCGCTCATGAGGGTCCGCCTGCTGTTGAGAGGCTTGTGATTGACATAACGTCTTCCAATGGGAAGAAAAATGAGGCTGCTAGATCTGAGCATGTGGCGTCTACCATGTCGAGAATGGCTAGTACGATTGCTGATAAGATTGCTCAGTGTAAAGGTCTTGTTATATCCTCAGTGCCGAAGTCTGTACCAAGATGTCCGTTAGGAGCTAAGTTCGATTCACCTTTGGATAAACTTGCTATTTGAAGAGTGACAAGGTGGACTCCGTTGCTAAAGTGGCGCCAAGGCCCACTACTTTTGCTGATGTGACTGATTCGCCTACTAGGAAAGAAGAGACTGCTCACATAGGCAGCTGTGAGAAATCCACTAAGCTTGCTTCTGGGGAGGCTGCTGAGATCTATACGCTTTTGAAACCAAATCTGCTTAAAGACCTGGATGCTTGTGCCAAGTTTGTCGATGGCGTTAGAGGGATTGTTTGCCCAAGTTCCTTTGTGAAGCATACGGCCGAGTATAGGAAAATTGCTCTACTTGCAATGATGCATAAGACGGCTATTCTGACAGTCGAGTCTATGCTCATTGACCAAGAGGATACCAAAGCTACCAAGGAGGTGGCAAAGGTTATGGCAGCTGATGCTTATTAATCTGTCGAGAAGATCGAGAGGTTGGAATCTGAGCTCGTTGTTTTGAAGGGGTCTAATATTTCTGCCTCCATTTCTCTATAGCTTGAGACCACTCGCCAAGAGATTGTTGACTTGAAGATTAGGCTTAACGCAATCCAAGTTAAGTATGAAAGTGCAGAGAATGAGATTGGATGTTACATACCTCAGATTTAACATCTTAAGTTTGAAGTTTCTTTGCTTCGTTTTGCTGCTTATATAAAGGATGAAGAGTTGATTGCTGCTTATAATCAAGTAATCCACTTCAAGAGAATCGTCGATAGGCTTGAACCCCAAGTGTTGGAACTTCAAGGTGTACTGAAGATCAAAGAAAGTCTGAAGAAGGAAGTGGATGAGCTGCATCACATTCGTGTTTGTTTGCTCGAGGAGAACGAGCAGCTGAAGGGTGAGAAGGCTGGGCTCGAGGTTTCGAGACCTTCTCTCTCCAGAAGACTTGCTTGCTTTTACTTTTAAGGCTTCCATTGGTGAAGTAGTTGGAAAAGTTGGTGCCTAGGCAGGGGTAGCCGGGGGTGAAGCGTTGGATGATGCTGCTGCTAAGAGTGTCGCGGCTGTTGAAGGTGTGGTGACAGAGTAGTCGTGAGATGTCCAAGATGCTGAAGTGTAGTCTTCTAGGTAGCTTTTAGGATTTTCTTTGTTTTCCTTGTAGCTGTTGTTTTGCTTGATCTCATTCGACCTTTGCTAGTCGTTTATAAAAATGCTTCATTCATTTTTCTTCATCTTTGCTTCTTTTGTTCATACCCTAACCTTTAGATTTTATAAACTAGTGGCAGACATGCTACTTTTCACGCAGTA